TCTCTCTCTCTCTCTCTCTCTCTCTCTCTCTCTCTCTCTCAGTATTAGGGCGCCACCAGTCCTCGTTATCTCGCCACACACGGGTGACACAGGGCAGTGGTAGAAGTGCTTCTTCAACTCCTTTCCCTTCTGCCCTTAGTACATTCCACTATGCAAGCCTGTCGTGTGGGTGTGTTATCTTTGTTGGGGGAGCTTTTGTCCGTCCTATACATTCTGTTTTGTGGGTGGTTGGTGGGTGCTCTGGTGTGGTTTGCTCCTGCTTTCCTATCAACAAACATCTATCGTCCTTATCGCTCCTTTTTTGTGTACTCTCTCTAATCCTCGGCACTTATATTATGACGTTATTGTGTTGCAAGTGCCGTAAGACTCCTACTAAAATTATAAAACTAAACTCTTCCTATAACCAAGCCACACGTCGCAGTCGGTGCTCTCCCCTTTCTTGCTTATTTCCTGGATTGCGCAAGCTTTGCAAAATGTTAATGAAATTATTATGCCCGACCCAAACAAGTCGTGTGCGGTACAGGTGTACAACCTGTCGCCGTGGGTGGTTGGCGGGTGCTCTGGTGTGGTTTGCTCCTTCTCTCCTGTCAAACATCTAGCGTCACTATCTTGTAACTACACATCTGCTCTTCGGCACTTATATGACCGTATTGCGTTGCAAGTGCCGTAAAAACAAATCTTACTAAAACTTTTGTTAAAAGCCAGTCGTCGCCGGGGCTGTTCCAGTCTCGGGTGAAACGATGGCAAGTTTTGTTGGGGGAGGGGGGGGGGTAGGGGGGAGGAATGCAGTTATTGCGGGTTTTCTCGACAAGGTTCACTGACAGTGGTGAGAATTATATTGCTCACGATTGTCGTGGTGGGCGGAGGAGGCTCGGGTAACTCAGCTGGCACGTGTGTGATGTTGAACGACCCTGGTTCGTTTTAGTTTTAGTAAGATTCTACGGCGCTGGCAACTTCATACGGTCATATGAGCGTCAAGGGGGAGGATGTCAACAGAGAAGTCCAAACGGGGATTCGGGCTTACTCTGCTCATCTCTCTAGCCTCTACAGCACAAAGTCTGCTTCGATTATCAAGGCACCCCGGAAATAGCAGTTAACAAGAGAGTGACAAACGTACAAATGAAGTAAAGGAAAATGACAATAGTCTGGATGGGGAGAGAGAAAGCAGCAGTTCCCCCAGTAAGAGCATGACATACAACTTATATCTCCTCTCCTCTTCCCCCCCC